TTCTCAGGAGACTGCGAGTCTGCAGGGGGCTTGTGGGAATAAGATGCATGAGTTGAAGACCTGGCTTCACTGTCTTCATTGCTTTGGGGCTCCCCACTTTTTTTCTCATATCTTGTGTGGTCACTGAGATGTTCATTTTTTCCTACAAGAGTAAAATTAAGGAGAGCACTTAGTGAGACAGGCAGAGAGGAAGGGGCTATGGCAATGTGGTTCATGACTTACGGGAGCTTACTTAGAAGCAGGAGGACTGTGGAGAAAGACATGTCATCAGCAGCTCCCGGGAAGTCTTGCCTCACCGTGATGAATATGACTATTCTGTCCTCTTAAGAGAACTTTAAGTGGATGGTATTGTGGTACAGCAGGTGAAGTTGCTGCCTGTGCCAGTGACATCCCATCTAAGCACTGGTTCCAGTTCTAGGTACTACACCTCTGATCCAGCTTCCTACTAATGTCCCTGGGAAAGTGACTGATGATGGATCAAATAGCCTGTGTCATGCACATGGGAGACTGAGATGGAGTTCTCAATTCCTGGCTTTGGCTTGGTTCAACCCCAATCTTTGTGGCCATTTAGGAAATGAATCAGTGAATGGAAGATCTCTGTCTCTTCCCGCCCCCCTCTCTGTCACATGTCTCTTAAACAAATAAATAAATCTCTTTTAAAAATTTGGTAATGACATTTCTGTCTCATTGATGTTTTGATCTTCCTGCCCCTTCTCTCTCATGCATGAATCTCATGCTATGATTGACCTCAAGGCAAGGAACTGTAGAAAAGCTTGAGATGACTTAGATCCACCAAGGTCTTAAGATTACTACTCATTTCCCAGGAGGGCTTCAGTGAAAATATAGGGTGCCTTGCACACAGTCCATGGCTAGTATGTGGTAGCTATGACCGCAATGAGCCAGAAGACCTTATACTTAAAACACAAGTGGTTTGGGAATGCTGTCTTGGTTTTTCCTGGTATTCTCCCCAGTGATGTTAGGAAGGGGGTGGACACTGAAGATGGTGGAGGTGAAGTCAGTTTAGCTACATATGGGTCTGTCTGATAGGTTTATTTCTCTGACTTCTCATATCACACTATACACCATATTCCCATATTTAACTTTGAGGTTTGGAAGCCAGCAGTTGTGGGTTTTTGTTGTAGTTGATCTTTCATATATATATTAGATTTTCAAAGGAAAGAGAGAAAGAGAGATCCCCAAAGGGCTTCAATAGCCAGAGCTGAGCCAAAGTCAGGAGCCAGGAGTCTCCTCAGGGTCTGCCACGTGTCTGGAGAAGGGTTTGGGTGCCAGGATGAAGGTGTGCATGCTCAAGCAGAAGTAGGGTGGGCAGGGAGAAGGCACAGACTTTATCCATGGAACACCCAGTTTCCCAGAATTACTATTTTCCTCCTGTCTGTAGAAGACAATCAGGGACTTAAACCATCTTTGCTGCTTTCCCAGGTCATAAGCAGGGAGTTGGGCCAGAAATGGAATAGTTGGGACATGAACAGGCACTCAAAAGGGATGTCAATGCTGCCATCAGAAGATTAGCTTGCTAAGTCATGGCTCCTGCCCCTAGAGAGTCTGTGGGGCCAGCCATTTCCTTTGTCTTGTGGTTCATGTCTCCCAAGACACCTGTTTCTAGTTTCCAGCCTCTGTCTTCCAGAGCTTTTTTACCCTGCACCCACTCACCATGTACTCGCCCATCTGTGTCAGTCTGCTTCACAGTAGACAGGTGGGTGCTTAAATTAGAGATGCTATGATTCTATTTTTTTTTTTCATTTGAGCCGTGCAGATATAGTTGTATGCATATGTCTTCATCCTTAAGGGTGACAGCACTGAGGGCTGTTGAAGGGGCCTGGGGGCACCATGCTTCCTTCAGGTCCCTGAGCTTATCCTGGCATTGGGCAATCTTTGCACATGCGGTGAAGCGAAGGAGATTTGTGCAGCTCATTTAAGGGTCTTGATGAACACCTATAGTGGGGATGGTGAAGAATTTGGAAAAAAAAAAATTTCTACTGCCTCATACTTTCCTTCTCCCTGACATGACTTTCTACTAACATGACCACCAGTGCAAGAGTGCTATGAAAATAATGCCTGCAACAATAAAAGAAAAAAAAAAAGAAGAAAATGATGCCTGGAAATGGATTATTGTAAGTGAGCATTATTTGCATTAGTAAACTGCCTGAAATGATGACAGAGAAAGGCAATTCCTGAAATATTATGTGTGGACCAAGGTTGGAAATGGGTGGAGGTGGTATGTGGAGTTTTAGTTTGTTCAGGCTGTATGATGAATATACCTTATGTATCTGTGGCCTATAAATAGGAATTCATTTCTTCTTATCTGGAAGTTGAAGATCAAGGTGAAAGCAAATTTGGCATCTGGTGAGAGCTTACTCTGCAGTTTGAGGGTGGCACCTGCTAGCTGTGTCCTCACATGGTGAAGGACCTCCTTAGCTCTCTAGTATCCTTCATAAGGGAGGTAATCCCACTAATTAGGGCTCTGTTCTTGTGACATGGAGATTTTCGCAAAGGCTTCACCTCCTTACACTGTCACCATGGGGGTAGAATTTCAGCATATAGATCTTGGGGGCATATAGACATCTCAACCATAACACAGAGGTGGGAGTGGTGGTTGCAGAACCATAATAGTGTCAAGTGGAAAGTTAGGGGAAGGAAGGCATGCATCTTGGAAAAATAGGAGAGGAAGCCTCAAATTCAGGCTAGCAATGGGCTAGGGTAGACAGGACTCTCTGACTAAGAGCCCAGCTTCCTGCCTCTCCCAGCTCACAAGGCCTGGGCTGATGAGAAAGTAGTTTTCAAGCAAGGCATGCACAAGGGCACCCCTCTGGAATTTGACCAGGAGCAGTCTGGCCTGCCTGCATCCCTGCCTCGGAGCCCCAGGAACTTCTTGGGTCTGTCTTATCTTCTCTGGTGATTACAGATAAACCAAGAATCCTGGATGGGCCCTTTGGGCTGCATCTCTTTTTGAATAGAACAGGGAATCCTTTTAAAAAGAGCCCATTTTCTGTTGTCAGCTCCTAAGTGGTGTTGAACAGAAAGTGATGACGAAGGAAATGACTAAGGATTTCGGTGAATGTGGAAGAGGGCTCAGAGTCCGGTTTCTTTCCTTTTCCTCTTCTATCAACGGCGACAAAAATCTCTGCCTCTCTTATGATAAGGCGGGACTACGTAAAAAGCCAAGTGGGGGTGAACCCTGGGTCTAGCTGGTTAGGATGGTTATGCTTCATACCAGAGCATCTGTTTATGCAGACCCTGGAAAGCGAGTGATGGCTTAGGTGGTGAGGTCCCTATGTGCCAGCGGCTGATGGAGTCCCCACCAGTAGATGGAAATGTTCTTTTTTTTTTTTTTTTAATAAGAAAACAAGCAAACACATAAGGAAAGTACTTCTGCTTTCCAATGGTAGCTATTATCAAGGTACTTTTTCTCTTGCCCTCTGTCCTGGTCACAGTTGCTCTCTTCCTCTTGTGCAGTGATGTCAGCTGCCTCTCTAGTCTCCGGGCTTGTGCTCCCTGCTCCTGCAAGCCCCTTTCCAGCATGATGCCTGAGAAATCAGCATACAACACAAAGATGCATGGCATGCCACTCCACATCATCTTTCAGCACATAAAGTCTAAAACCTTCCAAGCAGCTTCCCTTCAGAAACGCTCATAAATTTGTCTGCTTCCACTCATTCATTCACATATGCGTCAGGTAGCAAGCTAAGGGCTTGCCCAGAGAACATTCTCTTTGTCCTCCAGGTTACAGGTGAGGACAGGGAGGCTCAGAGAGGCTGTGAACCTTGCCCAAGAATGCATAGCTAGTAGGTCAGAGGGTCTGGAACCCTCTCTGCTTGGCACTCTCTAAAACAAGCAGCGGCAAGACCTCCAGGGTAGTGGGGGAAGGGTTAGGGAGCAGAAGAGGCTAAGAGCCCAGAGAGAGAAAGAGAGAGAGGGAAAAAAAAAAAGCCTTTGGAGGAAGGGGGCTGAGGATCTGTTAATGCAATCTTCTTTCTCCAGGTTGGGGTGGGGATGAATCACCACCTGGACTGGGAAGAGGAGCTCCGGCCCTGGGCTTGGCCTGTGTACCATGTTTGTTCAATGGATAGCTTTCCCTAACCTGCCTGGCTGAGCCCAGGTGCAAGAGAGGAACTGCCTCCCAGCTTAGCTGGAGCGCCTGACGGGGGTAGCAGTCTCCCTGTGCATAAATTCCAGGTCACCCCTTCTCATCCTACTTTGTTGTCTTTAAGAGTGTCCACTACGTGCCATGCCCGAGGTTGGCTCCAGAACCTATAAAACAGATTTGTTCTTTCCTATTCTTCCTAAGGGGAAGGTGAGTTTTCAGAGAGGTCAGTGACTTGCCCAAGGTCACAGCACGAGGTGGTGGCAGAGTTGGAATCACTAAGCCCCACAGGCAGAGTGCTGATGGAGGTAGCATTTTGGGGGTGTCCTTGGGGCCACGTGGCAACCCCCTCTGCTCCGCCCCGCCTTGACCATTGAAAAAGCAGGGATCTGTGTTACTGATTCCGCTGCACCTTTAACCCGAAAATCCGCTCACTAGCGACCTCCGGAGGGCCCGGCTGGTTTGGGGCGCGTGCACCCAGGGGACCCACCTAGTCTTAGAGACTGTATTTGCATAACGGAGACTGCTGGCTTCCTCCCCGCCCCTCTGGCGCGCTCTTCTTCCCTCCTTCCTCGGTCCCTTGCACGCCACATCCCCTGTCGCCCTCTCCCTCCCAGTGGACCCCTCCTCCCAGGGACTCCCTCGTGGAGCTCCCAGCGCTCCGGAGCTGTACAGCCTGAGCCGAGCGGGGATTGTGGAGGCGCCGGGGGGGAGTCCTAGGCTGGGCTGGGCTGGGGAAGGAGCCCGGGGCACTGCCCGGCGCTAACAAAGGGAGCCGGCTGCCGGCCGGCGTGGGCGCGGAGCGGGCTGCAGACATCGGGCGGGCGGAGCAGCCGCAGCCTGCGCGGTCCCAAGCGCAGCCAGTGAGTAGGGGGTACTGTGGGCGGCAGCGCGGCGTGGGCCCCCCAGAGAGGACTGGTGCTAAGGGACTCAGGAGGAGCGCGGGGCGACTGGGCCTGGGGCGCGCCTGGGGCGCGGGGATCCGATCTGTCTATAGCACCTCTGGAGCCGAGTTCCCAGTGTCGCCGGCCCCCTTAGGGCCAAGGGTGTCTTTATTTCTGTCCAGGCCGGGTCTATATGTGTGGGGGGAGGGCTGCCTTGGTTTCTGTAGCCTAAAGACCCACAACAAACCCACGTGCACGGGGCCCTCGGGAACCTTGCTTTCTCCAGGACACGGCCAGTTTGGGTGGGGGGCGGGACGCCTCGCAGGGTCTGGCTTCTTTCAGATCTTAACCGCTGCGTCTGCAGGTAGATAAACTGAGGCCGGTCAAGGGGGTGGGGAAAGGAGCACAGGCACCATAACAAACACACGTGCACCCTGCCCTGAGATCTGGGCGCGCCGCAAGCCTTGTCCAGCCGTCCTTTGCGGCCGGGCCATTGTCTGTGCAACGGGGAAGCCAGCGGCGTTGCTGGCATCTCTTGCTAGAGGAGCGCGAGGAGGACGTTCCAAATGGTACCACTGGGGCATCCGACTCAACAGCCACACTTCAAAGGGGCAAAGCGAAACAAGAACGCAGTTACAAAAAAGGTTGCCCAAGCGGGGAGAGTGTGTCCTCGACCGTGGCGCTTTCCTCGGCGGGAGGTGGATCAACTCCTCGCCTCTACCTCTAGAAGGATTGCTAGAGGTGTGCGTGAACTTGAAGGGTCTCTGTCCCCAGCCCCCAGCCCTCAAAGGAGCGTGCCCGGCACACCATTGTCCCTGCACTCTGGCCACTGCTTGAGCTGGGAGATGGAGAGCGCCTCCCCAGCCTGCAGGAGGAACAGCGCCCAGTGCGGTCTTGGGTGTCGCCTGCGCCTAGCCGGGTAGGTCTGTGTGCCTGGACAGCTGGTGTCACTGGCCTCTTATGTTGTTCTGCGTTTTTACAGCAGGGCCGCCTAAGGCTCCTTTTTAGATGTGTGTGTGTGCGCGCGGGGCTGGGGGAAGGGGTGTCCTCGTTTCAGTTCTAAATTTATTTGGGGGGAAATTCCTAGGTTTGCAAACAGAAGTCTTTGTTTTGCCTTCCCCCCCCCCCCCCCTTTGCTTACGTCTGCTTAGCAGAACTGGGTTGGCAGCGTTAGGAGGTAGCAGCGAACGGATCGGCCTCTGGGGCAGAGGTGCCGGGCAGGAATCTGGCGGCAGGGCTGCGGCAGGACCTTGAGTGTGCAGTGCTGGAGGCCGGAGCCGAGGTGTCCTCAGCGAGTAGGGCAGCAGAGGAACCTGCCCCTGTGGGGAGCTGGCCAGCTTCCAGCTCCGCACGACTCTGAAAGAGAGCATCTGGCAGAACTTTCTGCTTTCCCAGGCAGCAAGACGAGGCCTGAGAGTCCAGCCCCTTGTCCAAGTTTAAAACTGGGTGAAATCAGCAAAGCGGGACTAGATTTGAGTGTGTGTCTTCCACATTTCCAACCCTTGGGAGCAAAACCGGGGTGGTGCGGTTGATTTAAAAAGGAAGTGGCTTTAGGCGAAATAGAATTAAACAAAGAAAGCAATTCATGTTGCGGACTGCTCCCTTCGACGGTCCCTTTCAAGAGTTCTTTATTCAGTTGAGAAAAGATAGATTTAGCAATTCCTTGCTCTCCTCCTAGCCTTTCAGGAGCTTAAGTTATTTTTTCTCTCCCGACTGTTTTTTTTCCCTTCAAATTGAAAGAGGGACAATTCTGGACACTTCGATGTTTTGCCTCTCATCCTGGTGCCAGGAGGCCTTTGTTTGGGCAAAAGCATGGGCTGTTGACATCAGTCGACTGGGGAAAGTGTCTCTTAGAGAGTGACTCCTGAGCCACTCGTGGGAGAACAAAGACTTGTTTTCGTTGATTTCACTTAATTAATTTCTTGGTGAGAGTCCCACGGAAGTAACTAATTATTTTTGGATTTGGCAGAGGAAAAGTTAGACAACCAAAAAAAAAAAAAAATCTCTCTGAGGCTAAGGGGAGGGAGAGTTCCCCCCAAGTTAAAGTGTTGTCTTCTCTCCTGTGCCTGTGTTATCTTAGAGTTGCACTTGTTTCTTTCTTGCTAGTTCCAAGATGTTTCACTCTTGTAGTTCCACTTGGCACTGAAGTGTAGCTTTTTTTTCTTTTTCTTTTTTTCAACCAGGATGCCAACCCAGTAAAGAACTTCAGGAATCTTGTGGCTGGATTCTGGTCCCTTTTGTTTTCCAGGTGTGAACACACAAAACTTACTTTCCTGAAGACACCCAACAATATATGCTTTACTCATAGAGGTTCTTTTTGTGTAAAAGGGCAGTGACTTCATTCAACAAGTCATTTTTGGCATCCCAGAGTAAAGTCAGAGTTGTGATGGTTGTTATGACAACACTCCCTTAGGTTGGAGGCTGAGTTCCTTACAGATTTGCATGGGTTTGGTTATTAAACAAAGCCAGGGATCCCAGCGGGAGATGTGGTGAAGGGGCTTACAGTTCATCAGTGAGTTCACTTTCTGGGGCGTTCACCAAGTGGTTTGCTTTACTTTTGAACTGAACTCTCATATTCTGGGTCTGGTGTTTCTGCAGTCAGCTCCTTTGCTTGTCATGGTGAGGCAGATAATGGCAATGAGACGTCAGAACAGAGAGGCTCCACTTGCCTGTGCATGCTGCTTCACCTCATGGGATCCCATTTTGTGCTTTGTGCAGAGCACCTGCCCAGCCTTTGCACAGCTGTTCTTCTAATGGGGTGGGCGAAGCTTAGGCCTTGAGGCAGGAGGGCACTTGAAACCTCTTCTCTTCTGTGTGATATCTAAACTGGCAGACTGCTTCCCATCGTACAATGCGGGAAGAATAATGCCTTTGAAACTCATGGAATAAGTCATATTACACATGCTTGTAACTGGCCGCACTTTGGTCAGACGGAGTACTCCTCAGCTTTGAAGGTAGTGGGAGTGGGAGTAGGCAGTCTGCCTATGGGTTCAGAAACCTGCATCTCATATCTGCATGTCTGGGCTCAACATCTTCCTTTGGTTCTTAACTCCACCTAAGGCTCACCTGGGAGGTAGTTGTAATGGCTCAAGTAACTAACTTCACTTATCATCCACTTGAAAGATCTGGATTGCATTGCTACCTGTTCGGTCCAGTGCTGGCCGTCATAAGCATTTGGGAGTGTTTTCTGTCTTTCTGAAATAAAAAAAAAAAAGTGGTGAATGATGGTGAGAGAGCAACTTCATAGTGTATGTTCAAGTGCTGGGATAAGGAAGCCTGGCCAGACACAGAGGGATGGGGAAGGATGGGAGTGCCTGTCTCAGTGTATGGAGGGGCTCTGAGTGGTTGGGAAGCTGTGCGACTATGGGGTAATAGATCCAGTAAAAGACAAATGAGAAGCAAAAGCTGAACTCTCACTGCTCGGTGAGTACCAGCTTGAGCCCTTCCATAATTACTGACAAGCAGGAGGTTGGGGGTTCTAGAGCTTCAGCCTGGGGTTACACAAAACTAGGAGATGCTTTCTGTGCCCTGAGGCATTGAGTGCTTTGCAAGGAGTCCTGGCCCAGCTGTGCCACCCTTGCTGAGTACACTTCTAGATCTCCCTTAGAGACTAAGTGTCCTTATGGACCCATAGAGAATCACCTGGGTGACCTCTTGGGGCTTCTGTCTCTTCCTGGGTGAAGGCAAGAACAGGTGTTAATTGAGAGAGAAAGAGATGTCTAAGAGAAAGTGGTTCTCCATGAGTGTGAGGATGTGGCTGTTCTGTAAAATGGCAAGAATAATAAATTGAGAAAGCATCTGGAACAATAGAGACCCGAGGAGTTGGAAAGGTGGTCATTGTGAACAAAATAGTGAGGATTTTTTTTTTTTGGTTACCCACAATCATACTTCAATAGCATTCTGAGGCCTATAGATGCACTTTTTATAGGCTTATGTGGAACTGTAACATATCAAGCAATAGAGTTGCATGTGATTAAACTAGTGTGGTGATGCTTTAAGTCATGACTAGAAGGATGAGGTTAGCCTTATGAATCAAGGGTGTGATTTAAATTTTATTGTTCTAATGATTAAAACAAAGCATGCTCCTCTTCACTTTAAAAATATGGAGAAATACAACAGTAATTCCATTTCCCAAAGACAATCACTGTTGAAACTTGGCTCTTTTCCTTCTGGTCATTTTATTTTTATATATTTTTATGGATTTGCTTCCTCTAGATGATAGAGAACATACAGTATTTGCAGCCTGGCTCTTGCCTTTCAACTTCACGTCCTCATATATGAGTTTCATGGTTTACATGCACATTAAAGCTGCAGCCTTTCACTTGTCACCCATGTCAGCCACTCAACATCCCCAGGGTCTTGAGGTTGTGTGGGATCTGACCTTTCCCATTTCAGAGAAGGTTCGAGAAGTGCTGTGAGAGGATAGGCTCTGCCGTTCCTACCTCTGCCTCCAGCATTGGAATCCCCATCCTGGATTTTTTTTAGCAGCAAAGTTACTGGCTACACTGTGGTGGGAAATGAGCCCTTCTGTTCTAGTCCAGTCATATGACCTCCAGAAGCTTCTTGGATAAAACCTTAGTTTTCCATTTCCACTGGGTTAAATGAGAAACTCTGGGATTGTTTTTAAGTTCATTCGTCATATATTGAAATGCCTACTCTAAACCAAAGACAACTTAAAAGAGTTCAACTTTATGGAAGCTCACAGCCCGCAAGAAGGGCAGGGCTAATACGAGACGAGCTCAGGATGCTGTGCGACCATGAGGCAGATGTTCATGGGACTGAGCAGTGGGAAGGTTTCCTGCACTATGGCCGCTGTTGAGTGGAAAAACTCTTCCTGACGCTTCTCTCTGGTGTTTGACATTGTGATGAGTGTGCTTGTGAATGAATCTATTCGTTTTCCAATTTCCATGAGATAGGGTCTGCAAGATGGACTTACCATTTAAAACACTTCCAACAGTTAGCCCAATTATATAAACTCTTCAAGTCTGACTGTGTTGTGGGAGTGGTAGAAATTAAGAGCGCAGTGACTCAGGGTTTGAGTTCTTACTGATCATGAACTAGGCCATGCTTGTTTACTAAGCGTCAGTTTTCTTGCCTGTAGGGTGAGGGGCCCACAGAACTGTCATGTTAGAGGGAAGCTGCAAGCATTGGATGAAGTCACAGGTAAAAAGGTCAATCGGAAGCTCTCCTCTACTGATGGCTTTGATGTTACGACTGGAGTTCTGCAGAGCCTTTTAGCCTAGATGGTTTTTCTAACAATGGTAACAGAGCATTGTGTGGTTTGCCGTGGAGAGAGAAGAGCAAGTTAATTGAAATGGAGCCTCCTACCAGGTGACAAATTGAGAGCAAAATCATTGCTCTATGTGTGTGTGTGTATGTTTTAAAAGCTGTTGATTATGGAAGAGTCCAAACAAACAAAATAGAAAGAAAAGTGCTGTGAACCCCATATCATACTATTTCACTTCAACTGTTATCAAAATCTGTGGCTGGTCTATAACCCATTCTCAACCCAGATGGCTTTGAAGCTAATCCCAGCCTAGCCATAAATGCTTCAGCAGGTCTCCTGATGCATATTTGAGGCATGGAGTTGTGCTGGCTCAGAGCCTGTCTCTGCTGTTGCTGTGGGGCTGTGGGAGTGTGTATATAGAATCGAGAGAGACACACAGAGAGAGAGAAACAGAACTTTTCAAGTTTTACTGCTTGAGGAATGCAGCCCTGTTGCAGTCAGGGATACAGAGTGGAAGGGCCACTGAATTTGGAGGCAGGAGCCTGATTTTGAAAAAGGGGCCCCACCCATCTCCAGTTGTATGCTTTTGCCAAGTCCCATTGCATTTCTTAAAGCCCAAAATTTGATGAGTACTGAATGAGGTCATGGATGCAGCAGCCCAAGTGGCTGACGATTAGTTGGACTTCAGACAT